CACTCCAAAGAGAAAGGAAAACTTGAAATCGCATCATATGACCCCTTTAAACATTTGTTATATAACATAAATGTCACATCTGTTCATATTGCAAATGTATTATTTTAAATGTGATTTTGTTTTGTTTTGTGGTATTTCATCTCATTTAAAATTAATTGACATTTAAAATACAGTAAAAACACTAATATTGTGAAATATGATTTAAATTTAAAATAAGCATTTTCTATTGTAATATATTTTAAAATGTAATTTATTGCTGTGATCAAAGCTGAATTTTCAGCATCATTACTTCAGTCTTCAGTGTCACATGATCCTTCAGAAATCATACTAATATGCTGATTGTTATTATCTATTCTGTGGTCAAAGAGAAAAGCTTGTATTAAAACTGGCAAGGGGATTCACTGAATGTCTAATATATAGGGTACAACGGGGCTAAATGCGCCTTTGATATTATTTTCATCTAAACCACTAGATGGCAGAAAAATTTGGAGTAGCACTTTCCAAAACATCCGCTTTTCAAGATGCACGTGTATATTTGTCTGATCTTTGCCGCGATCGCGCGCAGCAGCGCAAAGTTGATTCTGTGCTTACTTGATCTAATATTTTATGTTTTTTAAAATGTTGTAGATTTAAGTAGCAAATGAGAATCGCTCAAATTAATGCATATATTTTGAGACAAAGGTCTTCTTTATGATTTTCAGTTTTGTTTAAGATAATTAAAGCAACAGTTTTTAAATAACGAAAGAATATGTAAAAGTATGGTATTTGGGGTAAAAAGCACCCCTGCTGTTGGGGCTAAAGGCGCACAGTAATTAACGTGATAATTAATAAATGGCTGACTTTTTCATTTGTTGACATGGTTAGATTCAGATGGTAAATATCATATATTATGTTGGTGTCCATCTAAGATAATCACCATGTTTGGAATGAAGCCATCATATTTAAAAACATGATATTAATCATATCATATAATAAAATAATTTGTTGTTACTACTGTAAATCTATATTAAATTTTCTATATGAATTCTATATTAAATTTAAGAACCTTTACTTTTTTTAAATGATTTTGTTTCTGTATTTTAAAATGTTTTATATTAACATTTTAAAGACAGTATATTTATTGAACAAAAAATAATTCATTTATTTATCAAAATAAGCAGAAAATAGTACAAACTTTGCTAAAGTGATTGTTTTGAATGAATTAACGTCAATTAACATTATTAAACAAAAAAAGTATTTGTATCAATACTGTGTGCCTTTTACCCCATGCTGGTGAGCATTTTACCCCATGTGTGGGGTAAAAGGTCCCCCTTGCCACCTCATAAATTTATAAAATTTTTAAACAAAATAAACGACTTGTATGATTTATTTTCACGCAAAATCTGTTGCTCCATAAATGTTCAATACAAAGGTATATATTTTTTCTGCAATCATACACTTTGGGTGCAGTGAAAAGCACATTTTTTCTTAGGGTGTGCCTTTAGCCCCGTTGTACCCTATATATAATATATACAGTGGGTACGGAAAGTATTCAGACCCCCTTCAATTTTTCACTCTTTGTTATATTGCAGCCATTTGCTAAAATCATTTAAGTTAATTTTTTTTCCTCATTAATGTACACACAGCACCCCATATTGACAGAAAAACACAGAATCGTTGACATTTTTGCAGATTTATTAAAAAAGAAAAACTGAAATATCACATGGTCCTAAGTATTCTAACAAAGAGTGAAAAATTTAAGGGGGTCTGAATACTTTCCGTACCCACTGTATATATATATATATATATATATTTGACTACTCACAAAAAAGGGAAAACTGTTTAGTGAATTCCTTTAAAAAAGCACAGTAATTTTGTGCACTTGCTAGTACGATCTAGTGCGTAATAGTAATGTACACAAATAGTTGCACTTGCACATTTTTAATTCTAACCACAGGAAAAGCACTACATCTGCACTTCTGTGGGATGAACAAATCTTTATTGCTGCTGGTGTGTGCTGCAACATAAATGATAGTTTTGATAGCTTCGCATATCTCCTAGTTCTCTTTGCCTAAGGTTACTTGATTTCCGCATTTGTGCTTTGCGCGATCTTCACCTGTGCCTTTTTAGGAAGTGCTAAAAAAAAGAGGGTAGAAAAGCTCCGCCCCCTTAACACCCAGAAAACGCCCACTTGCCCCACCCAATTCTAACCACCTCACTCTCGTTTCTGTTCTGACTCATAGTATGTACCCCCTCTATCGGGAGGACGCGGTCAGGTTACTGCGCTCCACTAGGATGGCCCGTGCATACTCAGACGTGGCTTACAATAGCATGGACAGGTAGTAAACCACAGCGGTTCACTCTCGATCTCACGATGCTCCATATTTAGTGCTGTGGGTAGTAGTTTGGACTAGAACAGCTAGTGGCGCCTCTCATTATTTTACATCTGCAGTATGTAGGGCTGCACGATACCTGGTTAAATGGTTAATCATGAATTTGCTTAAATATAGCCATGAAATACTGTCATTTCATCAGAATCATTGCACTTTCATTTAAGCACAAATCAAGAGAATTTCAACTTGCATGCTTTGCTCACGGTTTTTGCTCACTGCAAACAGCACAAGTGACTGTGTAAAAGAAAGCAGAGTTCCTGTATTACAGTTTTATTTGAGCAGAAAATCTCAGTAGAGATAGCTAAACTCCAGCTTACGTGTTTGCTGGTGTTTCCAGCTCATCAGCGCTTTTTCTGTAATGTAGAAAGAGCACGTGGGCATGGTTGCCAGGTTGGACAGATTAAGTAAACCACTGATATGAAAATGTATGGATTTAAGAAAAAAGCTCTGATTGGCGGATTTAAACACTTGAAATCTGGCAACCATGACAATGAAAGCTTGTGGAATCTTGTTACCATGCAAGATGCTGAATTAAAATGAATTGTTTTCAGGTTAATTAACCACCGATGATTATCCTAGGGGGATAGTTTGCCCAAAAATTACGATTTTGACTCACCCTCACTTTGTTCCAAACCTGTATGAATTTCTTTCTTCTGTGGAACATAAAAGAGCATATTTTGAAGAATGTGTGTAATCAAACAGTTGAAAGTGACCCGCAACCTTTGGGTTACGAGTCCGACTCTCTAACCATTAGGCCAACTATGGAAGTCAATGGCTACCAGCAACTGTTTGGTTTCTAGCATTCTTCAAAATACAGCATAATATAAAATAAAAGAAACTCATACATGTTTGTTACAGCTTGAGGGTGAGTAAATGATGACAGAAGTGTCATTTTTTTGGGTGAACTATCCCTTTAAATCAAAAGAGGTGGAAATCGTGATCATGATTAAAATGCAATTCATCGTGCAGCCCTACGTTTATGTCACCAGATTTACAAAGTGTAGATTAGAATCCATTTTAGGAAACTTTCCAGTGGGTGTAAAAGAAGAAGATATCATCAAATATCATTTTCTTAGAGAAATGTGGTAAAGGTTTAAAAAACGCTTTGGCTGTAGCATCATTCTTCCACCCATTGAGAAAGCTTTATGCAGAAGTCGTTTCGGCTCCTCTCTGGAGCATAGCGTACATGATAGGGTTCAGATTGCAACTTTGCCAACTACGCCACTAAGTACGCCAGCAATATTTCCCAAAGGAAATGTGTGCAATGTGTCCTTAACAGCTCCCACTCCATCCTTCCCGCCGTGGCGTAATGAATTGTATCCTCAGCGCTGCTCTCTGGAAGGCTGGAGCTGTTTTGATGACTGAGCACTCGCTAGCGTCACTCTATGACAGAACTGCCAGTCAAAAAACTGCAAGCTACAGTGGATGTTGACCATGCTTATATATAAATGTATTATTTAGAAATGTGGAATTTCATCTATTCAGGATATATTTGTAGGCTCAGTGGAGACGCAGATATTGTCGATCTAGCCAGCTTTGGTTACAGAGGCCCTGAGGTGCAATAGATTCACATATAATTTTTGTACCATTTTCATGTGATATTGATAATGGGTGTGGTCACATAGCAACATTTTGCAGGCACAAAGGTCCATTGTCAAAAGTGTGGTGATGTATGAAGCACAGCTCAAGATATTTTTAGTAATCAGATTAATGCTTCAGTCGGATTGAAAAGCCTTCATGTAAACAGTCAATCCAAATAAAATTTCTATTTAGCTTAGAAGGGCCGGTGTAGTCTTTTATTTCTTGAAAATCGTAGATTTACTGAGAGATTTCCTGTAGCTCCAACAGTAGAGCATGGCACTAGCAACACCAAGGTCATGGGTTTGATTCCCAGGGAATGCATGAAGCAATAAAATGTTTTCATTGAATACAATGCAAGTCACTTTGGATAAAAGTGTCTACCAAATGCATAAATGGGTAACACTTTAGTTTAGAGACCAGTTTTTACTGTTAACTAGTTGCTTATTAGCATGCATATAACTACACTCTTAAAAATAAAGGTGCTTCACGATGCCATAGAAGAACCTTTTTGTCTAAATGGTTCCATAAAGGACCTTTAACATCTGAAGAACCTTTCTGTTTCACAAAATGTTCTTTGTGGCGAAAGAAGGTTCTTCAGATTATAAAAAGGTAAGCAAGAGATGGTTCTTTAAAGAACCTTTGACTGAATGGTTCTTTGTGGACCCAAAAATGGTTCTTCTATGGCATCGCTTGAAGAACCTTTTGAAGCACCTTTATTTTTAAGAGTGTAGCATATTGGCTGTTTATTAGTAGCTATAAATCACATATTAATGCCTTATGTTTTGTGCACACCAAACGCGAATCAAATTATTTGCGCGAGTAGATTACATGCAAAGTCAATGCAAAGACGTGAATAGATGCGAATTTGCGCCGGGTGACGTGAATGACGCAAATTGGGATATTCGCCTCAATCACGTCTTCCTTGCACTCGAGCGGAAAATTTGCATCACGCAAGCCAATCAGAGAAAGCTTAATGACACATCTGGTTTTTATCAGAAAACAGTTTTTATTGTTTTTTTGTTTTTATTCGCGCGAGTAACATGAAAAACATCCCACAAGTAATCTAGAGCGAGTAACGCGATGCAAATATTCGCTTTGCTTTTGATGTGCGCACACCATTATTCTGCATGACCATATTTTAGATCCTTTAATCCAACCGCATACATACACTTAATAACTATCTTACTAACTATTAATAAGCAGTAATTAGGAGTATATTGAGGCAAAAGTTAATAGTTAGGTAATAGTGAGATTTGGTCCCCAAACAAAAGTGTGACCCGTAAATGTCCCGGTGTCTTAATGTCCCATTATCTTGGAAAACTATCAAGTGATATATCAAACCATATCATGAGAATGAATGAATGAATGAATTAATGAATGAGGAAATGTGAATCCACAGCACCTTAGGGCTGCGCTGGACTTCATTTTTGGCAGGTCGAATTATGTTTGGCACATAGGATCTGATTGTGTGTTATTTTGTGTTCAGGAGGATGAGGAGAGATAGACAAATGTCTGCCTACAGTGACTCGTATGAATCTCCTGAGAGGTAAAATCCGGATACTTTAGTTGAGACATGCATTCTGTTCATGCATCCATAATAGGACTGCTTTATACTAGTTACGGGCTTAACCCTCACCCCTTGCCCTGATTCAGGTGTTGCTCGTTCTAATCATACTTTCCTTTCTTCATTCCAATCTATCAATCCTCATCCTCCATTTAAAGATATTACAATGGGCCCAATCATGTATCTACTCCATGGCCCAATCATGTCATGAATGGAAACGGTGGAGACTACAGGTAAGACTTCTGAAGAGATATAAACACCCACATCACAAACATCACAAACCCTCGCTCTTTCTTTTCTCATCTGTTATCAACTGCCTGGAACAGATGCCACATTTATGTTCCCACTGAGGCTTTGTCTAGTAATGGATGGCAGTAATGGATCCAAGGCTCCAGTTTATTTTATTTATTTACTTTACTGACCTGTTTATACCTTTTTAAGCAAATACATGCTTAATATCATGTACTAAGTGTGGCACTAACACACTGAGGTGGTTTATTCAGTAGGACGTGCCCCAGGATAGAAATTGAGGCTTCTACAGATGCAGAAAGGTATAATTACAATAAATGCAGTAGTTTCAGTGCAGACTCAAGTTGGATTTAGATGCTGTAGTTTTCCTGTGACCTTTACATTTTTACAGAAGTGTTTAATGTTCTCGATATTCTTGAAAATGGCGTCTTATATAATAGAAGATTTCATAAACGTCACTAGCACTCACAGTAGCATAGCTGAAACATTTTAGAATCTTAGTACGGTAGCTAGTTTTTAGAATGTAATTATATTTAGTTTTAGTTAGTAACTTTGAACTAGTAACTGAATCTCACTTCGAACAGTACACTATACTGTATTTTATCAGTATACCCTTGTGAAAAATGACTTATTACAAATAATTGTACTTTACAAAAAATACTTAAGTGTGAACTGAATGCATTGTTTTCATGTTAATTGCAATTAAATGAAAACATATTATAGTTTAAATTTATATTAAATACAATTAGTTGAGCTTCAGAGTGCTTTTTACCTATTTAAGTAGGACTTAAGTACCTCTTTATATGTAATTTCATAATTACTTCTGACTTTGAAATATGGTTAAAGTATAACTACTAAAATTTAATGTCACTATTAAAACTTGTATGTATTTTATTTAAATATATTTGTAATTAGATAGAGGTGCAATTTATTACATTTAAAACATGAGAAAAGATTATTAAAACAATTATTTTAAATCTATTTTAAAGTAAAACTTCTAATTTGACATTATTACAAAGTGCACTTTTTAAAAGTCTACTTAAGTGTGTTAAGAATCATCGTCACGAACAGTGTTGGGGTAAGGCAAGTTACTAATCAGATTACTTTTTTCTACTAGTTAGTAACACATTACTTTTAAATTTACAACAAAATATCTGAGTTACCTTTACAAATAAGTAACGTAAGTTTTTTTATGGAGTAACGCAATATTGTAATGCATTACTTTTAAATGTAACTTTCCCCAGCACTGGTCATAAATGTGTCTCTATTTAAGTACACTTAAGTGACCTTTCATTTCATTAATATTATATTATCTGCAAGTAGTTTTTAGAAGTATACCTTTAAGACTTGAGGTACACAACAAGTGCACATGCAATACTTTTTCACAAGGGTAAATTGTATAATAAGGCTGTTTAGCAACTACTGACAGTTATAAGAGCCTCTAAATTAGCATTTTATGTTCTTCTCTTACGCACATCCATAGAGAGGACAATATCCCAGAGTTCCCAGCTAACCATGAACACTATGAGGAAGATCTGAGGTAATACAGCAGAATTTGTGCAAGCACTCCCATAGATAGAGTTTATAGGAGTAGAGTAGACTGTAGTCACGGGGCTTATAGTTGTGTTAGTATGAAATGTGTTGACTTGTTTTCTTTGCAGCAGCTTCCAGAAGCTTCTGTTTGTTTGTTTCATGTCAATTTGTTGGTTTACACTTATTTTTGGTTGTTTCAGTTTGGTAAATCTCCCTTCCCTGAGCAGCCAATGCTGAAACTCAAATCCACTTTTGTTTGGTGTGCTAATTATTAGCCAAGCCACGACATTTCACAGCTGAGACACCCTGTGATCCCATGATGCACTGGGGCTCGGCTGAGCGTGGCTTTTTGACTAACGTTCTGCAGGTATAGCCGCAGCATGGTGGACAGGCATGAGCATTACAGGTCCAGGTCAGCTGACCAGCGGCCCATGATGGAGCGACCGGTCTATACGCGCTCCCGCTCGTCCGAGCGGCCCGACTCCGGCTACATGAGATCCATGCCGTCCTTACCGTCAGGGAGATCCGCCCCTCCCTCTCCTGCCTTAACGAGGTGACCCGACCCATCACAACAAGCACTAAAGCGCTAAACGAACCCATGCCTTCTGCTTCCTGTCACCTGGAATGCCCCTCTCTCCACTTCCTCTTATTTTAACCCTGTGTAACGATGCTGTTTATGATTTTACCTTCATTTGTAGAGTAGAGAGTAATGATGATGGTTACTACTAACGCCTTTTCATTTGGATTATAGACACACCTGTTATATCCTCTTGAGATATAATGGTGTGTACCTGGCATCGTACAGTTTTGTTTTGACTTATTTTTGTGTGTGTGTGTTACTAACATTCTTTATTTGTTGTTTAACAGTTTACGCTTTGAGTTATGGGCTGTTATGCGTGCCGTGTGATCATGCATTCAGGCCTTTTCACTTTCCTTGCAGCTTTAGCCGCCACAAGCACCTCTCCTGATGCTGATTCCATCACACCTTTTGAGACGCCATAACACCTTTTGACTTACGATTTGCCCCGCACGTCATAAGTCACTAGGAAATGACATGAATGTGTTAGATTTGCGCATGAACTGTCACTGATGCGGTAGCTTTTGGATGTGCCACAGTTGATTTAGAGATGTGAGCCACATGTACTGAAAGCTGATGTGACACTGAGCTCAAAAGGTGCTTTAAAGATCATTGTGTTTACTGTGGAGTTGATGTGCATTTTACACGGATGTATTTGTATGTTTACGTGGCTAAAATGCACATGACCGTGACATATTTATTAAATGCATGCTCTTTTATGGTCAGATATTTTTTTCTGACAAAATAATGCTGTCAAGAACATGCTAGGTCATATTTTACTACAAAAAAAACCAAAAAAACTTTATATTACTGTAATTCAGTTTGTATATATATATATATATTACTGTAATTCAGTTTATATATATATATATATATATATATATATATACATATATGTTATGTATATGTATTTAAAAATAGTTTTACACTAGTAAAACTTTACAATTTATGTACAGTGCCATTCACAGGTTTGGGATGAGTAAGATTTTTTATGTTTTTTAAAGACGTTTCTTATGCACATCAAGGCTGCATTTATTTGATCGAAAATACAAAAAACTGTAATTTTGTGAAATATTATTGCAATTTAAAATAACCGTTTTCTATTTTAATATACTTTAAAATATA